AATAATAATAAACAAAAGCAGGGTGAATTCACAAAACACAAGTGTGGGAGTATAATATTTTATAAAATTTAAGATATATTAATTATACAACACTTTGCTGGGATGTCATTACGTTGTTGGTGGGGACGATTAGAAAAATTTTGATTAGGGTTTTACCATCTACATTATATTCCTAATATAAATACAAAATTTAACAACAATCGAGCCAGTACTGTCTAATAAAAATCCGTGACGGCAGACAAACAGACAGACGGACGGACAGACAGACCGGAAAGAAAAGGGAGACATATTTCTTCGTACTCTTGGGGTCATGAAAGGTCGAGAAAACGTAAAAGTAGAGAGTCGGCCGAGAAACTCGATCGCAATACTTCCTTCGCTTACGCTCGGGAAGCAAAAATATATTCAATAAAAAGAAAAAAGTATTTATCCAAATACCTTTGATTTTAACTCACTATACTGAGGGAATGCACAACATAAAACAATTTACTATTTTTTTCACAACCGCACATCCACAAAAATTTATCATATGTGTCTTGTCTATTAAAACATCTATGAAGTCTCTCGTTTTGCTATGAACACTTTTGTTATTAATGAATCAGGGGTGGCCAAAATTTGTCACTACAATTTTATCGTCGTAAGACAGAGGACGATATTTTATGAAATATTCAACTGAATTCATTATTTTTATTTAAAATAAAACAGTTTTAGTAACGCAGAATGAAGACGTACTTCCGCAGTTGTATTACTGCTAGCAGTCACTGTTTCAAGTGTGACCCGATTCCAGCCAAATACAGCGACCATAGGGGCGGTTTCCATGGCAACGGTGTAAACAAAACATTTCAATGAGTCATGATTTGGTCTCCACTTTTATCGAGACCTTACTAACGATGTGTCCAAGACACATTTTTAGATGTAAGTTTTTATACATTTGATACAAATGGAGCGAGATAAAAAAATTAGCTTTGATATTTACGACACAAACTTCCATATATTTTTTTTAATATTGAAAATTATAATTTTGCTGTGTCCAGGGTGTATGTAGACGTTGTAAATTTTTGAAACCCTCCCCTCCCCCACAGCAACTGATTAAAAAACTCAAATTATCAATGCTGCGATACGCACAATCAAAATAAATTTAAAATTCCAGATTGTCGTCTAACTAAGTAATATACAGGGTGAGTATTATAATAACAGGACCCTGACCAATTTTCAATGCAACACAACATACATCTATATTGCTAGATTCCAAAATAAACACATATGGTTTTAGGATCAACGTAGATACTCTCCTTGCTAGTTATCACTGTTTCTGAAAGACGTCAATCAAAAGTTCACAAATGAAATTTAAAAAAAAAAAAAGCAAACATATTAATTCAAAGAAATGTAGTAAATAAATTGAAGAATTAAATAAATTGAACTAGCGTAAGTACTGTTGAAAATGCATTTCGATGCGATTTAACAGACAACCGGACGCCGGCAAGTTTAAGGAGAGTTAGAATTGCAGCACCTGCATTTCTAATTCTGGTTTTTAAATCCTCACAATTACGAATAGGATTTTGGTAAACTTGTTCTTTAACTCACCCTGTACAGTATATCTCTAAAGAATGCTTGTTATTTTTAAACAAATAATTTTAAATATTTCCAAAATGTAAGCTTAAAACCAAAAATTGAGAAATGGCAAATTTATTGGTGGAACACGTTCCTGACAGTGGAATCGGTTACTTAATTTTTTATTTTAAAGTAATAAACTGTTGGGAATCGATGTTTGAAGTCGTGTTATGTTACAGTTTCTATGCAAGTAAGAACAAGTATGATTGAACGCTTTTATCTTTATTAAACAATATTACATTACGTTTCCTTTAGAACATATATGAATATTTTATGTAACTATGTAGTCGCAAAGATACGACTTTTAATTTTGCTGTTTTCTACATTTTTCTTTTATTATTTTTTAGTATAATTCAATCTTACAAAGAGAATCTACGTTTGAGCTATGTTTAAAATAACTTTAATTAAATTAGTTTAAATGCTCGTTCAGATACTCATGTCTATTTACGTAAAAGATTTGGACAAAAAAATAATTCCAATATCCAAAATATGCCTACATTATTATTTATTAAAGTCTTTTGCCGTCACATTAACTACTAGCTTCTAACACCACTTTATCAAGTTTCAAGAGCAATTGTAACTAATTTAAAAACTCTTTCCTGTGTTTTAATTGGGTAAGTAGTAACAAGATGTGCACTTCTGTAAGTAATTGGTTAGAATTGAGCGACTGAGAGCAATCTGTTGTTTGCTACAAAAACTTTGTCGTTTCCCCATTATACTTACTTCTTTAATCGTAAAGCTTTCAGTTTTTAGGGACTGTTTCTTACACGTGCTGTTAAGTTCAACTGTGGTGAAAATTTCAGAATCGAAATTATGTTTATTTCATGCAAATGCTAAAATAGGTAACTTGTCGCATTAATATATAGGATTTAGATATATCCTCCCGTTGGGATGTAATCTCACTCGTTTGATACTGAGAATATCTATTGCTATATTTATCCTGAACTAGAACAGAAAAATGAAGTTATGAGATATCGGAGGAATTTCTTTGCCGATGATCTCTCTCGCTAAAATAATCCCATATTTCTCAACCAGAGTCATGTGTGGGGACAATTTTTAAAATAGAATGATTTTAATCATACCTCCATAATTTTTAGTATTCAAATACGTTAATTTATTTCAAATTAACTCAAGTATGCAGGCATCGCTACAAACAAACACAAATTATTCCGTTTCAAACAACAAGCACAATAATAATACCTGCATCTACAAAATTTAGCAAATTTTAGAGTTAAAACAATTCGGAATTCATGACTGCAGAGAATGTAATTTGCTGATAGGAATTTTTATTTTTATCTACCTCTTGCTAAGGAAAATATATTCACACTATCTTAAGGAATGTGCAGATTGATGTTTTCTTGGCATTTCACAAATGGAGAATATGAATTTAACATTTCCTAGTTTCCTTGGTCTGTCTGTTTTGTAGACAAAATATCTCCAACTTTTTCCTCTGACATGATTATTTTCACATTTTAATTATGTTTTATGCTTATCTTAAAAATGTCTATTCCGAGATTTTAAGAATTTAATTTAAACCGATTACTTGTCCAGAAAATTAGTGACGTCAAAGCATAGCTTTTTGGACAAATTTCGCGTGAAAAATGTAACGTACTTTTTCTTGTCCTGCTGCTTTATGATCCAACCCTATTTTTAATTTTGTGTATACGAGTTACCATCAAAAAGTTATCTGAGAACACTTAACAGATTTCTTTGGAAGTTTTGTACGACGCTAACATTAGTGTCGGAATTATATAACATTAATTAAACTTTATTTATTTATTGCCATTTCGTAATATTATTAAATAAATGTTTATTGAAAATTACGCTATTATATGTACCTACTTCCTTAATATTATTTTACTTTTACTTCCTGAGTCATGAATAACAGAAGTATTATATCGTCATTAAAGGATACTGTTACATAAATCTGTTCTTCATTTGTGCTGCAATAAGATATCTATATTCATTTATATCATTTGTTTTAAAAAGTTGAAACCATCAAATTGACCAAATAAATGAAATCTGAATAAGGAACTTTTAAAATTTTGGTAGACATGAATTGTGTCACTCTAAATTTATTTATTCATTGCTTACAAAAGTTGATGCACCATCTCAGAAATTATTAGACAAATATTTTCAAAATTACATTCAGACACACGTGATTTGACGTTGTGCTTAGAAGGAAATAGCAATGTGATTAACTTTAAATATTCTTTTATTGGTACCGTTTCCATTGCAGCAGAACAACTAATAATAGTTTTAGCACAATACATGGTAAGTTTATCACGATTCCAGTGAATAATAAAATCATTGTTTCGATTGTTTTCAAATCATTTTATTGTTTGTAAGTGTATGAGAGTAGATTACATAATGTGAATTTTTAATTATACGTATATTGACTACGGCAAAACCGAACACACTGAAGTGCTGTTTTAACTTTCATATAAGCCACATTTTTGTAATTTTTTCAAGTTACATATTCTTTTTTAACTTCCTTGTGTAAAAATTATTGTGTTAAAATACTCCATATGTTTATATGCTAAAAACAGGTTCAACTTTTCTTTATAAAGTAAATGTTAACTATTTAAATAATAGTACTTACATGCGTTTTATGCAAGTCACTCACAGAAACACTCGACAATGTACATTCCACGAATCTTTCCTATTATTATTACTAATCAAATCAGTAATCTTTGCGCAAAATTTTATATAAAAAAAACCATGACACCCTGCAAAAGAATGTAATTTTTCAAGATCTAATCTGCTTTTGCGTAGTAAGATTTGGGTGATATCACAACTTTTGACTATAATAATATATCGATTTTTGTTTTTTTTATGCGGAAATGGGATGTAGTAATAGTTATTTACATAAAAGTCAGGAAAATGTCTCATTACTGAAGAGGAGCTATGTTGAAATACGAGGCACTTTGTGCCGAGTATTTTAAAGCTCCGAGTCAAATAAGACATTTTACTGACGAGTTTTGTATTAAATTTTTCCGGAAATCGCAATAAATCGCTAAAAATCGAGATTTTCCAACAAGTTTTTTAATTAATTGCGCAAAAATCTAGTTTGTCAATTTCTTGAAAACGATGGTTACAAACAAAACAATTATAAAATTTTGTGCGTACGTCAGAGCTGTGTGTTTATTTCATTAATTAATTATGAATACAAGCGAAAACACTGGTGAGGATGTTCCTTTTGACCTAAGCAAAGCAGCCGCTGCTGCTACAGAAGAATTGTTACCGTCGAAATCTAAGGAGCGGTATGAAAAGCAGTTCCAAATCTTTGAAGATTGGCGCAGGCTTAAAAATGTTACTTCGCTAACGGAAGACGTATTTCTGGCTTATTTTGCGGAAAACTCAAGTTCTTATACGGCTTCAAGCCTCTGGAGCACTTACTCTATGTTGAAAGCCGTGCTTTTGTTGAAGGAAAATTTGGATATCAGCAAGTTTTGTAAGGTAACTGCTTACCTAAAACGAAAATCGACTGGTTACCAACCAAAAAAATCGAAATGTTTGTCTCGGGACCAGATAGATAAATTTCTGCTTGAAGCTCCCGACAAGGAATTTTTATTAATGAAAGTAAGTTATTACAATGATTACATACATATTTAAGTTTTATTAAATTTGGTAATTTCAGGTGGCGCTTATTTTTGGGGTGTCTGGAGCCTGTCGATGCGACGAATTATCAAGGATGTTAGTTGACGACATTGAAGATCAAAATAACGTGCTAATAGTACACATTCCTGATTCTAAAACAAAAAAACCTCGACGCTTTGTAGTTGTTGATGAAAGAAATCTTGCTACATACAGACGTTATTTGGAATTACGTCCGCCTAGTACTCCACACAAGCGCTTATTTTTAAATTACAAGAAAGGGAAATGTACGGTCCAACCAGTGGGCTTGCATTCATTTGGTAAATTTCCTTCTCAAATTGCTACCTACCTTGGTCTACCAACACCTCTGGAATACACAGGACATTGTATGCGGCGCAGTTCCGCGACTTTACTAGTAGACGCAGGAGGAGATATTACCAACTTAAAAAGGCATGGAGGATGGCAAAGCAGTTCAGTAGCAGAAGGATACATAGAAGAGTCCATCGAAAATAAATTAGATATAGCTAATAAAATACAAGCTGGTCCGAAAAAAAGACCCTTCACTAATATCGAGACGTGTCCCTCTACAAGTAGTGATTCATCTGAAATCTGTTGCACCGAAATCTCGACTGAAATTTTTGATAAAAAGGTTAAACTTGATCATAAATCTCTGTCTGGAATTAACATTGCAAATATATCGAATTCTACAATTAATGTTAATATCTGTAAATAGTGTAATTTACGAAATTTTGAATAAATTTTTCTTGTTTAAATAACTAATTATTTTGCATCATTTTTGTAGTTTTTACAGTACTAGTCAGGGAAATCCAATTTTCCTGCGCCTAATGTCGCAAGGAAATGCTGTTTCAATGACGATTTCCGGAAAAAAAATAAATTGGCATTAAAATTAGTCTTAGGTCTTCCATAAGGCACTTTTTTGTAAATTTGATGGTACACTAACATTTAATTAGTTTTTACAAAACATTCACTAAAATTTACGTTTGTATTACAATTTTATTATTCTATTGTTTTACGACCAAAATGCTCTGTAAAAATCAGCGCCTTTGCAACAAAAATATATAGGGCCGGTGTAAAGAGTTTTACTTTACCCCCTATTATGCATTAATCCTTAAGGTGGGTTTCCGTCTGTCTGTCTGTCTGTCAGTCGTCTGTCGCCTGTGTCGATTTTATTTATTGAACATATTATCTCCGAAACTACCCAACCAACTGTTGTTAACTGTAGATATATGTCACGAATATCATGTAGATGGTATTAAAAGCTAAGGAAAATTTGTCTTATCATCCCCACCAACAATTTGATGACGGCACCTCAAAATTCTGCTTAGTAAATTGCTATGTAAAGTTTATAAAATGCCTGTACTTGTGATTTACATTTACAGCATACCGATTTAAAAAAAAATCAAATTATACAATAAATTTTTTTACGAGTGTAAGAGCAATGAAATAGCAACGATAGAAGGTCTTAGTGGCGAACTAATAACGCAAAAAACGCGGAGGTTACCGCCTCGATCCCCCATAGGCCACTTTTTTACAATGTGACTTGCAGTATCCATATTAGCTATATGTTTTTAACTTTTCAAAAACAAATTTTATAACTTTTCGAAGAAAGTGGATTTGTTCGACTGTACTTCAAGGAAGAGAAAAGTTCTATCTAAATAATCTTAGACCAATTTTTTATCTACTATATTTGTATTTACTATTGTGACATTTTTTAATTATACCACCATTTTTTGGCAGTTCAGACAAGTGTAAATCAGTCAATTTAATTAAAATACGCAGGTTTCATTACAGAGAGTGCCATAAAATATTTATCAACGGTTTTTTGACTAAAGCGACGCAGCGTTTTGAATATGAAGCTCCCAGACTCCTCACCACCGGAGGGTTAATCCGGCCGCATCCCTGCTCTACCTTCCACCGACTGGCCTTAACCCAGCCTCGCCGACATTGAACCTGGCCAATCGGTGCCTAGGTCGCGAGTGACGTCGCGATGCGTGCGTCGAAACGCGCCAACTTTCGTCCGAGGCGTCGCGACGCTGTTTTAGTCCACACTCTTCTGCCGACCATGGGACTAGTGAAAGCCGCAGCTGCTGTTACGCCCGTCCTTCCAAGTGAAGAACACAACTATTCGGACACCGGTAGTGAAACAGGTCAGCCCTTTTGTCCTATTAGTGGTCTGTGTGTTTTTTCCGATTCGTAAATGCAGGGTCCGGCAAAGAGTAAGTCGATTTCCAAAGTTTAAAACTTCTTCCGCACAGATAGCATGCGTTTTCTAACTTCAAAAATCAACGCTGAAAGACTTCTTTTCACGTTCTGAACGCACGTTATGCATGGGTCGCTGATCTATTGCCTTTTTGATCACTTATTTACTGACTGCGAGGGGTTGACCAGTAAGACAGTTCTTGAATATACACCGTTATGAGATTTGCTCTATATTTACTAAAAATTTAAATAGACTCAAATGCAACTTGTCATGCAGCAAATAACAACAAAAAAAAATTACTTTTTTTGTTTCATGGTTTAACCAATAGATCGATATATTATTAGAACAAAAACACAAGTATCTTTGAGCCAATGGTCAATAGGTACTTATTTTATCTAAATTGAAAACTATCTTAGATGAAGTCGTAGATCGATGCAGCTGCTAATACTTTTCACAAACTTTTGTAATGTTCGCTGGGATAAGTAATTAACGGGCTCTTAATTATAAACTACCTTACTTAGTACTACAGTTTCAATAAAGAAATAGTGTCGCCTTTAGCTTAAGAAGAATAATTGAACCAATTTATTTATTATTAGAAAAAAAATTACACTACAAAAATTCACTCAAAATCATGAAACAATTTAAAAAACAGTACTTATATAATAAAATAACAATTATTTTTTTTCATAAACTGCAACTACCCTAAATCGTTACTTTACCCTTGATTCTTATGAAGGATCACCGGGCTTATTTCTTGCCGACTTCACTGCAGCAACAACCTTAACCAAGTACATAAAAAGTTTTCGTAAAAGAACTTTTAAATGTCACATTGTTACACATACGCGCACTTCTGTTAGAATTTAACAACTTTGTCTAATTTTGTAGTGATTTAATTTTTTTTTGGTTTAAGAATTACCCAACATTTGACTTAAAATTTTCGATAATTTAAGCTGATCATGTTTCAATAAAAGTGTAGACTTTATAGCCTATTTTTGTGCAGCTTGCGTTTTTTAGATGAATTATTACAAAATTTATGCATCCATTTTGCAATTCATATTTTCTATATGATAAAAAATCGCATCGTGATAGTTACCGTTCACTTTCGATTCTTATTTCATTGATCACTTTTGTCCAAGTTTTTATGCCTTTTGGAAACAACATAATAATTAATCACCGAAATATGTAAAATAATTGATGGATTCTCTTACGAATTTCTTGTCACCGCCAGAATAGTAGTAAGTTTTTTTTTTCTCGTCAGTGTACAAATTGCTGGTTATTTATCCGTGATATATACCCATTGTTAGAACCCAACAAATAAACCTAAAGAACTGTTATATTCTAATACTCAACTGATCCCACAGGTGTTCTGCACGGATCGATTTTAGCTTCACTGTTGGTTTTCATTCGCGTTTACTACATTAGCAGTGAGTTTGCCTATTCTTGATAATTTTAAGGACTGCAAAGTTATCAAATGGGTTATTTATGTAAAAAGGGATTTTGCTGCGCTTGTTGCTACCGTGAAATAATGAACATTTTCATCTAACTTATATCTAGTTATTGGTGTAAACGTTTTCCTTCATTTTTGATACATCAGAGAGTGAATTTATTTATCACCCGCTAGAGAGATCCCGTAAACGGCTGAAGATATGAGCTCGGGTAAATGAGCAAAGAGCTATTTTATGACGATTAATAATCTGAAACAATTTTTGAAATATGATAATAATCCTGGAAACCCTGAAATTCGCTAATTTTCAAAAATTTTACAAATTCTGACTATTCACAACGAATAACCGTTGTGTATAGTCAGTTTTTACTTACAGATGCCGTGTTATTGTTTTACACTTTTAAAAAATAAAAAACAAGTGTAAAAAGGGTTGCGGTGAAGGACCTGTTGCGTTTAAACAGCGCTTGAATTACTTAACTCTGACGTACATTAAAAGAGCAAAAAGAAAAATTTGTGTACTAAACAGAAATAAAGTGAAGGGTCGAAACAAAATTTCAAAAATATTTCTCGTTTTTTAAAAATGTGGTTGCATATCGTATCTCATTTATTTTTCGGCCGATTTTTTTCAAATTTTGTAATTTACATTTATTGAAGGATGCAGATTCCGTTTTATGTCAAAAATTTATTGGTTGTTGTAATCTTTAATTTTAAAATTAAGTATTACGTTGAATAAAGTATTTCGTGTAGGAAAATTTGGGAAAAGTTGATTCGTCTTTGAGAAATCTGCTCTGAAGTGGCAGAAAAAAAGATTTTAATTAATGCTTTGAAAACAAACTTGGCCCTGTTTTTTCCTTAAAATTTTTGGCCAACCCTGCCGGAACAACTAATTTTCTCGCACTTTTGTCACTGTTGAAGTTTCAACTTTGTGCTTCTTTTAAAATGCCTGAAATTTCCATTCTTTTGAGAAAAGAGATAATCTATGTGTATGGTGAATGTCGCAGAAGTATTCCTGGTACGATTTGAGTTCTGAGGCAACGGTTTCCGGAAGAAAATCTGACAAAATCCAGAGTATTTTAAAAAAGAATAAATATCATCTGTACAGAATGTCTTTGCATCAAAACTCTCAGAAGCACATAAGGAAAACAGACTAAAAAACAACCGGTATAGTGTCACTATGGGAATAAAAAAAAATAATTATTATTTCTAGAGTATAGTATTTGGTTATGTACTGCATAATATGTGGTATGTTGTAGTACATACCCTAGTATTAAATACAAATGTTTTTAAGTAGGTACCTGAAAAATCAAAAAGATTTAAATTTTTCGAAAATAACTTCTTTATTAAAAAAATCAACACCCTTACCTCAAGAGAATACTTTAAGTATTTTCAAATCTTAACTTTATTTTTCACTTAATAACTCTTCTTTCTACCGAATGTCTTCAGTATAGGAGTTGTTAAGTTAAGTTGGTTACTAGAGCCCCTTCATGAAGTCTATCGCTAGTACTATTCCCCTGCTTCACTCACTATTTCTTCCTCTTACGTTCACTACTTCATTGTCCTACGTTGTTTTAGGCTTCTCCAATCTATTTTCGTTGTTTTTCTTTAAACGTTTTCAGCAGTGAATCTTATTGTCCATTTAGATTTTGCTTGATCTCCAACTCTATTTTTTTCCACCCTATTGCTCTCAGATATTTGTTATGTTATCTACCTCTTTTAATTCCGATTCATTTGCCTCTTATTCATCATAATATCCTATAATAACTATATAATTTTCATAAGATATATTTTCCCCTTTTTTATGCACTGTTATGTATTACTATTTTTCAATTCTTTGGAATTTTTTCTGGCTCTATGTTTTATTCAGTATCACTGTTAGTGCTATTTCTATTTTCTATAATTCCTATATTTTAAATAATCTTTGTCTGATTTTGATGTCAAATATTTTTGCCATGCGCTCTTCTCTACTTCCGGATTTAATCGCCTCTCGACAATCCACCAGACTGTTTGTTTTTCTTACTTGATCTTTTGAAACTAGAACTATTTTCTTAAAATTTTCCCAAATAACTTCCAGTTTACCTATTATTATTAACTACTCTCTATTTTCCTTTACTCCAGTATTTACTTCTTGATATTTTTTCCTACTTTTTACTTCCCAAGCGTAAGCTAAAGATGTATTATAATCGAATCCATCGGGAGCCTGGCTGCTTTCATATTTTCTCGATTTTCTAGAGTACGAAAAAATGGGTCTTCCGTTTCCGTCTGTCCGCCGTCTGTGTAAATTTTTGACAGACAGATAAAATCCGAACCTACTACTACTGATTGCTGTCAAATTTTACAGACCTATTATGAATATTAGTAGTATGTAGATGGTAAAACGCTAACCAAACTTTGTCTAATCATCCCCACCAAACAATGTGATGACGTCACCTCAAAATTGTACATAGTAAATGGACTTTAAATTGTATAAAATAGCATAGCCCTGCACGTGTTGAGTTTTTACCCGAAACGTACGAATTTTTGGAAAAAAATCAAAAGTATATAACAACATTTTACAATTCAATTTTGAAACTACAAAATCGAACGCTTTGAAAGATGTTTTAAAATGATCGTAATCATGGTAAATCGCTAATCAAAATTGATTCGTTTTCTCCTTCCAAAAAATTGAGGACGTCATCTTAAAATTTTACTGAATAAATCCTTTCTGAAATATCCAAAATATTATGAGTGTAGGTATACTTGTGGTTTATCACTGCATTAATATTTTTTATCTTACAATAGTAGGTTTTGGGGTAGTTAATGCAACTGTTTTACGAGACACAAATTCAACATTATTAACAAGTGAAGTAAACTGCTCACAAATGATGTGATGCAATGTAATGTAACTATGGACACTACGATTTTTTAGGGTAAATGAGCTGTCAATTTGGATTCATCTTATTCTTACTTTTTTGTAGAAGCTGCTACTGTAAAATAAAACGTCGTATATTATACGTGAGTGAAATGCCATTATAAGTTCGTGAGAGCAGTATCACTCGCGCGAACACGCTCGTGACCCTACATTCTTACTCGCTTATAATATAGCATTTCTCTCACCTATAATGTAAGATTTTATTAGATTTACAACTGAACCTTAACTGCACTTCAATTGTTTATCTTATTTCCTCCTTGTCCAATCCACATATTTATAAATTCTTCCTTCGTTTCTCTTTTCCAGGCACTCTATTTTTTGGTGCAGTTCTTCTGTTTCTTTTTTCATTTTGATATTTCTGCTCTAACTTCTTTTAATTCCTCTTTGTATTCTTTGTGCTACCTTCGTATTTGTTTTATTTCATTTAGCATTTCGTCGTTTTTCCAATAACTTTCTCATCATTTTCGTGATATCTCCATCTTCGCCACTTCCAAGGAGCCTTTTAGGCAACTTGTTTCGCTTAAATTCTTCTGGGGAGTCACCATTTTTTTTTTCCATTTTGTGCCATCGCTGAGATCCTTCGAACTCTGACTCGCTTATTTTATTTTCCTAATCCTCGTGACGCCACTGGTTACTATATATTGCTTATCTGAACTGATATACTGGCTCCTGAAATCTAATTTTTGTTCTTGTTAATTTTTGTAATTTTTATTTCCCTGGGATAAGCTAAGGAAGTATAGTAATCGAATCCATCGGACGAATTGCCACTTTTATGTTTTCTCCACATTTCATGACCCCTACAGTAGGAAAAGCGTAGTCTCCCGTTTCCGTCTGTCTGTTTGTCTGTCTGTCTGTATCCATTTTTATTAGACACGTAATTTTCGAAACTGCTGGACCGATTGTTGTCAAATTTTGTATGTATGTTAGAAATATCATGTAGATGGTATGTAAATGCTAGCCAAAATTTGGATAATCATCCCCACCAACAATTTAATGACGTCATCTCAATGAACCGTAATTTTAAATGCTTTTAGCTTAACGTTAAAATTTTCGCAAAAACATATGCCGAATTTGGCTTTTATAACTTTTTTTTCTTGCATTGGTAATACGCTGTGACTATTTTTCTTTTGTACTGTGACTAGTATTATCCATGTTGATGAGGTCATTACAATTTTTTTTATTGGTCAAATTAAGAACGAGTCACCTCATTTTCTCAAACATGTGAAGAATACGCGCGTCTTGACATAATAATAATAAAATAAGAATCATAAGGTTCAAAACATTTTGTTCGATTGGATTTTAATTAATAATTTTAGTTCTCTGCTTTGGGAAGACAAACTCATTCAAATCAAATTAATTTCTACGTGACATTATTTCGATGTATAAACATAATAAACACTTGAGCTTCTATTACCTGTTGGAGGACATTTTATCTCGTTGATTATGTGCTTTAAATATATTCTACATTGTCCGTACGACGCAGGGGCTGCTGGTTTTTACTTTACAGAGGTTAGCACAAAACGAAAATCGTAAAATCAAATTTTACAATTTTTTTAAAAAGCTGGATTTGTCGGATTATACTTACAGTCTTCGACCAATTTTTTTATTGATCAAATTAAGAACCTCATTTTCCAGCAAATGCGAGAATATTTCTTTATTTAGGGCCGAATTCTGTATCTTAACCTTTTAATAAAGGATCCGTTCGTTAAAGGCTTTTCCGTAACCGTAAAGGAAATGTGAAAGTGAATCCTTTAATATCTCATTCTCTATTGCATCCCTTAAGGAGAAACTTTATGTAAAGGACGAACTGATGTTTTACGATAGTATATGCTTTGAAAAACGAACGCTTGCGATTTATCATCAAAATTAAACTGAACTTTAAAAATATTACCAAAAATTAAAAAAAATAAACCCTTTGTAAAATCATACACATTTTTGGAGGTACCAACACTTACCTCTTGTGTAACAACAAAAACACACACTGACCTGGCAACTGGTTATGGGGACCCTCGCCTTTAATGGATCTTTTGGTCGTTTATAAGTGAATACCCCTCCAAAGGAGTTGTTTTTGCAAAGTTATTTATTACTTACTACTATTTGGGATGTCCTACAAGTATTTGTGTTTCCATCAAATTAGGCTTAATTAACTTTTATATGAAGATTTCGGATAATACCAAATTAATAATACTTATTAGTGGCCGAAATCAATCTTATCTTACAATACCCATTCGCCTCTTATTTTATTAGAGAGTACGTGCTAGTACGTGCCAAGATAACAATGATTTTGGCAAATTACCTACTTTCTAAGAAAAGAGAGGGTGGGTGGGCGGGGTTAGTGCCTGCTAGGATAAGACTGATTTAGCAAATGACGTATCCCATAATAAATTTAATAGATTATTATTAGAAAAGACACTAGAGGCTATTTCAAATTAATTCCAAACGGGAATACCTAGAACCTCAAAATTGTTTTAAAATCCAAGATTCACATGACGATTGTTCTGACTGATATTGACATCTCCAAAAATAAGTAATTTATCGCCCGTCACATTGGTTTTGTACACGTCTTGTTGTAATTAAAAATTGAAATTGTAATCGTGTTGTGGAGTTTGGAGGTACGTATAAGAACTGTTTATATCAGCATAATAAGTTCCCAATCAATCACTATGTTGTAATTGCATAAAACAAGGAATGGAAAATAAAAAACGAAAAAGATCTCCAAAAACCACAGCTGAACAGTTTTCACTCTATATTGAAAAACTTGAAAATAACATTAACTTCCGGGAAAACGCCTTCCACCCAGGGGAAGACACTGACTATATTAAAAGTGTATGGCAAAATTTAACAGAACTGTTAAACAGCAGTGGGGGGCCTAAAAAAAATTACAAAGAGTGGAAAAAGGCAAGTTGATTATTTGTAATGCAATATAAAACTAATAAGTGAAAACGTAATATATTGCAGACTTTTAGCAACTGGAAAACCAGTGTCAGAGCAAAAGCTCGAGCAATCAAAGCTAGCCAAAAAGAAACTGGTAACGACGGTGAACCTGAAGCTCCACTTACAAAATTGGAAATACGATTATTAAATGCAACTGGGAATATTGTGGTGAATGGCCTGGATATTCCTGAATTGGGGTTGGAAGGTAATCTGTCAGTCTATCTATATTTTTTAAATTATTTATAAAAATATTGCAGAGGAACCTGTGATTTCAAAAGCAACAAACACAGCATCATGTAGTTCAACCGCAATTTCTGTGATTTCAAAGCCAGCAGGCAGTGGACCACGCAGTTCAAACGCAATTCCTGTGATTTCAGAGGCAACAGAGGCTCCGTCCAATAGTTCAGATGCAATCCAAAATATACGAAAGAAAAAATGTTATAATACATTCAACAGTGCTCTTAAAAACCTTACAATGAACACGTCTCAAAATGAAGTCGAAAAAGAAAAATTGGTGGTTTTGAGACAAATAAATACGAATTTAAGTAAATTAGTCGAATTAGAAACTTTTAAGTTGAAATTAAAATATCCACAAATTAATATTGAGGAGACTGAGGATAATGTGCAATAAGGACCAAGATATATCTAGGTTTTGTTACAGTTTATTTTGTAATTCTTGTTAATAAGTTGAGAGTTAATTTTGTGTTAAATTAAAAATTGTTATTACACAAAATTATTTTGAATAACATTGTTTCTCCTTTGTCGTCCTAGGTGCAATAATTGAACATTGAAATCAGCGTCATTAAAATCTTCTACTTCAAGTTCGTTGTGCATATCATAATCGATTTCTATTTCAATATTTCTCATTCTCATGATATTATGGAGTATACCACACGTGTAAAAAATTTTTGCTACAAATAGTGGATGGTATTTTAAAACTCTGTCCTTATGTAAACATCTCCATGCCGTTTTAAGAACTCCAATGCATCGTTCTATGCTATTTCTAGCTAAACGATGAGCATAAGTATATCGTCCTTCTGGAGTATTTGGATCTGCCCCATTAATTGGTGTCAGTAGATAAGGTGTTAACGGATATGCAGAATCCCCCAATAGCCAGGTTGTCTCATCATTGTTATTAAAGAAACATCTTCTCAAATAAACCTGAATATCACTCAGCTGCCAAATAGCTGCATCATGCACACTTCCGGGAAAACGAGCACCCATGTGCAGAATCCTTAAATCTGAATCGCATATTATCTGGCAGTTCAAACTGAAATAACCTTTTCTGTTCATAAACACTAATCTTGGCACATCAATGTTCCCTAAAACCAAAGCTTCTCCACTAATTGGCACGTGAGTGCAGTCAATGCAGCCCACAACTCCTGGAAGTTGAAAACGTTGGAAGAATCTATTTTTTGTCACTGTGATTTCTTCCACTGTGCGTGGAAATTTGATTATGTGATGAAATTGATCTATAATTATATCAATGACTACATGGATGCTTCTGCTAACAGATGACTGAGACATTGGGCTGCGATAGTCTTGCCCAATAGAGTTTTGGTAACTACCTTGTGCTAGAAAATGTAAAGTAGCGATAAATTTTATGACACTGGGTATTCTCGTCGCTCTTCCTCTGTTTATTTCTAACCGTGGTTGTAATTGTGTAAATATTTCAAAAGCAGATTCATTGGTAAGTCGGAACATTTTCTTAAAACCGTCTTCTGAAACAATATATATGTATATATATACATATATATGTATATAATTTGAATCTTGTAAACAATGGAATGCATTGCAGAAGTGGTACTAACGCATATTTATATTGTAAGTAGTGTAACTTACCTTCTTCGTAATTCCTCTGCGATAAATAATCTCAAATTCTCCATTTTTTCTCTTTTATTTATTAGAAATCGTCACCATTAACTAATGACACTGACAAATAATTTGTATAAAGTGAAACTTAGGACCATCCGTTGCACAAAGGAAACGATAAAGGACTTCACCTTTATGCAACGGATCTATAAGGCTCCTTTACGTTTTAGAGAATAGGAATATCTTTATGTAAAGGACAATCCTTTTACTAAAGTGCCTTTATACTTTACAGAATTCGGCCCTTAATTATAATCAAATAAGAATAATAATAATGATATTCAAAATGATAATAATTGTAGTCCTCGGTTTTGAGGAGACGACTCATTCAAATTAAACAAATTTCTACGTGACATTCTTTCGATGTATAAACATAAACATTCGAATTAAGCATGTACACTGATAATAAATAATACACCCTGCGCCGCAAGTGATTTGAGGTGTCATTTACACCACTGGTTTTAATGTATAAAGTTTATCACATTTTTTTTTTATTTTTCAAAGAAGCGGAATTTGTTGGACTGTACTTCAAGAGCGAGGGAAGTTCTGTCGAAGTAACCTTAGACACCAATTTTCATTATTTACCTTTAGCGCTGATTAATTACACTATACCAAATTATATTTTACAGTTTTGCATAGTTTGTAGTTACCCGTAAAGTTCACGTGATAGCGCCCGAGACTATTAACTCTTTCTTTACTCGTTTATTTAATACAAACTTCCACCGCCAAACTTGGATCAACTGTACTGTACATCAAGGTACAGTTTTCGCTTAAAACTAAAATCAACGGCGTTTACAAAGTTTCAACGTATTAGTGCAGTCGCAAAATGTATGCATGTCGAGGTTCACTAAGTACTACGTACATATTATCAGCATAGTAGCAGGTTTACCAAAAGTAATTTTACAAACAGTATTCAGCTTACAAAACACAAACGTAAAATCAAGGATTGTATTTCTAGAGATAACCATCCCTGCCACTCCCTTTAATACAGCCAGTGTTTCAGAATCGTGTTGACAATTTTTTAATAATTACTTAGTTTAAGTAATTAACAATTACTTATATAGTAATGTTAACGTCAAAGTTGTCTGGGTGACGAGAAACCCTGTAGTCTGGAAAGTGAGACCACATTTTGCACAAAAGTTTTTCAAACTTCAGAAATTACTAACATTATTGACAATTACCTCTTACTTACTGTGCTGATTGTTTCCACAAACTAAGCGAGAAGTTCCCATAATGTGCATGTGAATACAATTATCTTAACTGTTTTACTTTAGCGTCACGATTTTCCTTGGGTGCGATTTCTCTCTTATGCTCTAAAAGACGAAAGATTATCTGCATGTTTTGTGTCAAAATTGTTTTATTACTGTTAAAATACTTTTGTTATCTAACTAACAAAACACAATCCTTAAGCCACACCTGTGACATGTGCGGCTTCAGACAACTTAATCTGTATACGCCCCATGACTCCGCACAGACTAGAAAAAAATCTAACCCAATACGTGTTCCGGATGCTCTTCTGAACTTTAAATTCCTCAACTGTAGCTATAAAACTAAGTTTAGACAAACTGAATTTAAACTCGTCTTTTAGCCGCAGTATTAAACAAAATTTTTTGTATTATTTTCCCGAACGATAGCTAAACGAGTAAACAACAAGTTCACTTCTAATTCCGTTTTCTCGGCCTTTCAGAGCCCATAGAATATGAAAACGCGGACCTTCACTTTTCGTATGCATGTGATCTGTCTGTAGTGTTTTTAAAAACTCGTGCACAGAATTATATGTATTCAGTATAGCCAATAATAATGATCAAATTCCACAATTTATACAAAATTATTAATATAAATTAGAAGAGCAACATTAAAATTTGTTAGATAAGATCTTTGAAAACAAGCAACTGAACCTGGAACATTATAATTGCTATTACTATTTGTTATTCTTCCCAGGCCAAGGAAGTTCTATGTTAATAATAGCTATATAGCAAATTTTTTATTTGTTTCTTTTATAACTTCATACAAATTTTGTGTTTCGGTGTCTGGGAAATCAAGACGAGTCAAAGATTATACAATTTAAAATTCTTTCTTAACAGATAATTTAACATATGTACTTGCAAAAATATTTACTTCATTTGATACGCCTTTCAGCATTTACGTTTCGTCTCCGTACATTTTCTATGGGTGGTCAGCCCTCAGCTAGACGTATTTTTACCTATTGTGTTCAATATTGCGGTGGCAACTTCAATCCACCGCCACTCAAAATTCCGCTGACCGATCCAGACATTGCGACTATCGAATGCCGGCTTTTGACTTTTTTAATAATGATCAGAAATGAACAAGTCATGTTTTCAACAATAGCGAGAAAAAGTTGCTTTGATTTCCCCTGACATGGTATTGTGTTTATCGTCAAATTGATTCGAAGAAATGATACTCTCCCCTGAGACAAACAATTTCCGTCCACTAAATGTCAAACTTTATCGAAATCTCAAAAGGAACACACCTAATTCGAATATCAACATGTTTGTCGTGGTAATTGGGTACTGAATAAATGAAAATTTCTCGTATACACACAAATCGAGAAAGTTTCTTGCGGATGAAGATAAAGACAACGGAAAACATGTTAAATAATTAAACAGGTGGTATGTGGGACAACGCCGGCAAGTTTATGGCATCAGGGTCGTTTTTATTATGTCGTGTCACGACCTGGGCAGTAAAGAATATCACGTCAGGATCTTTGCATCAAAAATGGAGATTATCGACAATCTCGAGGAAAAGATTGAGGGATGTAAGCTGTTTTATCCTATTATCATGAGCTGATTTAGGAAATTGCTTTCAAAAATTGCTTATGCATTTTAATTTGTTAATGTAACTACTTAATTTAACTTATTTCCAGTGTTAAATATTTAGTGCATTTTGTTGCAAATTTTACGTACTGATTCAGTTTCGTCCAGTTTTGTAAGCGTATCCACGGAAACAAAGACTTACTATACAGAAGCCGTAAAATTAAAACTTACTGACCTCATATGCTCTAGCCACTGATGAATAGCTGTCTTAATTTTTCTCCGTTGTTAAGAAACCGAGGAAACAGAAATACTTCTCGGGGCAGTTTGGCGAACATTGGTAAAGTAAACATTAATTCAGTCAGCAAATTACAATTAATTAACCTTTATTTATGCTGTGTTTACCCTTTGTAGATGTCGGGTCGTCAACCCTCAAATACTAAGGCAACCTCTTTGTTCATGCTACTCTGCTGTAACGTAACCAACTCATTACGACGTTGAGCACATTCAAATTAAAAATCATTGGTCTCAAACAAAAGGCGTCGCTATACTACAGCAAGGATTGTTACAATTAATAATGCTTAAATGGGTAAATTCGTATTAAACTGTTTTTTCGACAAAAGACAAGTACAATTTGTAAAAAATTGCATGAATGAAATTTAAAGGTCACAAAACAGAACGCAGAACAAAACAACAATTTAATTTTATTGACTCATTCAGTATGGTAGTGAACGATTAAATTAAATGAAAAAATATCGAGACAACGTCATCGATTTTTTAAATGGGATGAATGGAAAAAAATTGGGCGTTTTTCTATCTCCATAATTATTTTTAAAGTGCAATTCAAATTTTACAATAATCTCGTAGTCCAGGCTTTACCTCCCTTCTAAAATCGGCAACGGACGTTATTAAAAACAATGTCATATACAAGATAGTCGAAACAGTTCTATTTATGCATGCAGTGCGGAAAACAACGCATTAAACTGGAAATTTGCGGATCGAAGTTAAGCTGAGACTGAAAAACTCGTTCGAACATCTAATACAATTTTTGCTGCG